ACGTTCGGCTTCGCGACCACGCTCAACGAGGTGCCGATGGTGTTCAACTTCACGCACCCGTTGGTCAACGACACCCTTATGTCGTTCGCCGACGTGGCCTTCGTCGTGGAGCGCGGCGCGGTCAAGTGGCTCTGGGCCTTTGACGGCGCCTGGCCCTTCGATTCGCGCGCTTCGGGATTCACCCTCACCGCTTCGCTCGAGCTCGAGGCCGCGGGGGTCACCGGCGTCGAGAGGCTCAATGACCACCCGCGCCCCGGCCGCACCACCTACAGCGTCAACCACCACAGCAAAGACAACGGCAACAACAACGGAGGCAAGAGCCTGGAGGTCAAGTTCGTCGTGTTTGATCGGGCCGTGTCCGACGGCGAGCTCGTCGACGTCGTGCACGCCGTTGAGCTTGTCACCACCGGCGGCGCGCAGGTGGCTCACTTCCACTTCACCTTCCCGGCATTCCGCTACACGTTCGTCTACGACCCCGAGCTGGTGCTGGTGGTGCGCGAAGTCGACGGCGAGAGCTCGGCGTCGCCCGGCGGGCTCATCGCCGGCATCGTGGCGCTGGCGTTCATCGGCGGCCTGGTCGGGCTGGCCGTGGTGCGGTCTGCCCTCGCCGCCCCGCCCGCGGACGAGGCCTATCGTGGTCTGGGCGAGCTCGACCACAACCACGTCCTGGTGCCGACCGACGACATCGAGCAGACGCCGCCGCCGCTGACCAAGGGCCGACGTCCCTCGTACGACGCGGGCGCCAGCGTCGAGCGAGAGGCGGCGCCAGGAAGAGCGAGCAGCAAGCGGTCGGTTGCGGGCGGCGGCGGTAGTGGCGGGAACAACCGCTATCGCTACGACTACGAGGAGGAGGACGACAACTTCTACAGGGGCGAGGGGGACTTTGAGATGGAGGTGCTCTCCCGGCCAACAGCCACAGCCGGGGCCAAGAAGCAGGCCCGAACCACACGGATCAGGGCGCCCAGTCAGAGCAGCGGCAACAGCGCGGCCAAGGGCTCGAGCCATACTGTGCGGGAGGAAGACGATGATGGCACCTACGACAGCGAGTTCAACGGACGCCAGACGCGGTCGGGCGGGAGGGCGGCGGGGGTGCATCCCAACAGGCCCAGAGCCCCGACAGCGTACCAGTGGGAGGGGACCGATGACGACACCACCTACCTATCATGATCATTCCCAACAACAATAGACATGAAAGATTAACTTCCCACAGTCCTTGTTCTTGTGTTGATGTGTTGATGTGTGGGTAGTAAAACATGTGGTTAGGCCAAACCCCTTTGTTTGTATTGGTCCATGTGGACTACACTGTTACATAAAACAAACCCATCAAGCTGCTTCCTCCTCTCATTAGTTCTTGGTGGGCTCGCTGGTGGTGCTGCTCGTCATGGCGGGGTGGCAGAAGTCGGGCTGGAGGCTCTGGAAGAGGGCTCGCCTCTCCTCGCACACCTTGAGCACCTCGTCCAGCTTGGCCAGTTCTGACTTGAGCTGGTCGAGGTAGAGGCCGACGTCGAACAGCTTCTCAATCGCTTCGTCGTTCAGCTCGGCCAGCTTGCGTTGCATGGCGCTCGTCAACACGCTCTTCTCATACAACCTGTAATGCATCGGTTGGCAACCATTCCTCTTGGTCGTCCATCATGCGTGTGCGGTGTGTGCGTGTGCGGTGTGTGCGTGTGCGGTGTGCGTGTGCGGTGTGTGCGTGTGCGGTGTGCGTGTGCGGTATGCGTGCGTGGAGGACTGCGTACAGAGGGACGAGGCAGAACTCCTGGAACTTGAGGAGGGTGTTACGGGCCACGCGGTCCCTGATGTCGTTGAAGTAGCGCGAGGCCAGCGGCACAAAGTCCTTCTTCAGCTTGTCCTCGGTGTCCTGCCAGCTGCTCAGCAGCGAGCGCGACGACCCACCACCTCCGCCAGCGTGGTGGGTGCTCCCCGGCGGGGACGAGGTCAGGAGGCGCTCCATCGAGTCCGACAGGAGCGTATTGCGGGGCGGCCCCTTGGGCGTGCTGGGCGCCGACGAGGCGGTGGTGAGCGAGCCGATCGACGAGTTGCGCATACCGAGCAGGCCCAGGCCGCGGTCGGGTCCCGGGCCGCCGCTGGTCGAGCCCACGCCCGAACCCGAGCCGGAGCCGGGCGAGGGCACGGTCACGCCCAGCTGGCCGCCCGATGGAGGTCCCGGCTCGTCGCGGGCCGACACGCGGGGCGAGCCGGGCGACGAGGTGCCCGCCGCACCGCCGCGGGCGTTGTTGTTGGGCGTCGGCGGCGGCGTGGTGGTCTTGTCCGACAGGTCGCCGCCCACAGAGCGCTTGCGCAGCTCCAGCGCCAGGGGCGAACCGGAGGGGTGCAGGTGCCCATCCTGTCCACCTGCATACATCGCGTCGTGTCGTGTGTGCCGTGAGTGTCGTGCCGTGTGTGTCGTGCCGTGTGTGCGGTCGCGCGTGTGCGGTGTGTGCGGTGCGTACCGGTGAATTCGCTGGGGCGCCTGGCGATGAGGCTGCCCTTGCGCTTGGGCTCGTCGTCGCCGCGCGGGATGAGGAAGCTGCCGCGCAGGCGGGACGAGGTGGTGAGCGACGGCAGAGGCGTGGCGTAGGTCCGGATGCGCTCGTCGGTCAGCAGAGTGGGGAAGTAGACCAACCGACGGCAGCGCAGCTCCTCGAGGCACTTCTCCTGGGCCAGCGCCACCACCTTCTTCACGTGGCTGTAGAAGTGGTCGCGCACGCAGAAGGCCAGCTGGGGCGACGAGTACTTGAGCTTGCGGCCCAGCAGCAGGTCGTTGTACATCTCGTTCACCCCCTTGAAGGCACCACCATCGCCACCTTGGCCATTATTTGTCGACGAGCCGCGGTTCATGGTGGGCGAAGAAGAAGATGAAGGAGATGATGATGAAGGAGAAGAAGATGAAGCTGAGGTGGTGTAGGCGGAGAAGCGGTAGGCGTTGAGCGACGAGGCAAAGGGCGACGAGGCCGGGCGGCCGGTGGTGGTGGACTTGCGCTTGAGGGTGGTGTCGACGATGGCGCACAGCCGCTGGAAGATCTTGAGCGTGCGGCGGAAGAGCTTGTCCACGAAGGGCGCAAAGGCCTCGCGGAACTTGGTCTCGGCCACCTCGGCCGCCTTGGTCATGAACTCGTGGGGCGACAGGCGATCGGAGAGGGGGATGGCCTGCAGCTCGAGCAGGTTGAGGTGGAACTCGAGGTTCTCGACGAAGCCGCGGAACTCGGTGAGCAGCTTGCGCAGCTGCGCGCCGCCGGAGCCCAGGCAATTGTCCCAGAAGGGCGTGCGCCAGCGGCGGTCCTTGGTCAGCAGCGCCGTGTCCGCCAGACCCACCATTCCACGCGACTTGTCTAAACACGACACACCACACGACATACACACGACACACGACACACACGACGAGTGAGTGAACTGAGTTCCGCACGTCACGCGATGTGGCAATGGCGCGCACCAAAGAGATCGTAGTCGGAGAGCGCGCCGGTGATGTTGAAGACGGCGGAGAAGTTGCTCTCGAGGGAGTAGAAGATGGTGGCTAGGAACTCGTTGGAGTACTTGCCGGCGATGAAGCGCAGCTTGGTGATGCGGCCCGCGCGGTCGGTCTCGAGCTCCTGCACGGCGGCCTCGAGCTGTCGCTGGATGTTGACCCGCCGATCGGCGGTCTTCTGGCTCAGGGTGTCGATCAGCGCCGGAATCTGAGGGATGAGCTCCTTGTGCTTCTTCCACGTCAGCTCCAGCAGGTAGCGGCGCAGCCTGTTCACGCCCAGACGCTTCTTCAAGCTGGTGCGGTGGTGAAAGAGGAAAAATTTCAATCACGCCAGCGTCAGTTAACCATGAATTCCTCAAATATTTCTTATAAAGAAGGGTGGTGGGGTGGAGGTGAACCTCTTGTCGTAGCCGAGCTTCTCGAGGATCATGAGGTCGCGGTAGTAGCAGTTGATGACCTTCTTCTGGAAGTCCTCCTTGTTGGTGAGCTTGGACCGCACGGCGTCGTTGAACAAGCTGATGTAGAACGAATTGTGCGGCCGCAGCGAGAGCTGCTTGTTGACCTCCTCGGGCGAGGTGAAGTTCTTCATGAGGTGGTAGAACTTGGAGTAGGCGAAGACCGTCCGCGAGAAGGTCGGGTCGTATTCCTTGACCAGGTCCAGCAGGTAGTTGCGCGCGTAGCTCGCGCTCTCGCTCTGGGCGTCGATGAACTCCTCCACCACGAGAATGATGCGGTTGGACGGCGCGATCAGCTTGCGCACGGCATTCTCCGTTTCGCTCATCTCGGCCTTCGTGCCCGACCGGAACGCCAGGCCTGTGGTGCAATTGGTCAGACAAATAGTGTACACGTATATGTAAAGGAATATATACACAAGATAAATACACATATGCGTGTGTGGTGTGTGTAGATATATGATGTAAATGTTCAGATACGTACCTGGTGCGTCGATCAGGGTCATGTCGAAGGTGCTCTGGTACTCGTAGGTGGCGTGGACGGGCCGGCCCAGGTCGGCTAGCGCCTGCGCGCTAAAGGCCGGCATGTTGGCCCCGGGCACGGCGCGCGGCGAGCTGGTGGCGGCCATGGTCAAGGGCGCCACGACGGCGGGCGCCGTGGTGACCTCGACGGCCGGCATGTCGCCGTTGTCGCGCCGGACCGGCACGGCGCCGTCCTTGGTGACGGCGTTGGCGTTCAGGCGAGGCGACGAGACCGAGCGCGGGAAGGAGCGGGGCGAGGTCAGCTTGCCGCCGGTGCTGCTGGCCGGCGACGGCACCGAGTCGAGCTTGTCCACGGGCACGTCGATCGAGAAGCTGATGTTCTCCATCTTGCGGCTGCCCTCGCGCTTGATCTGCTTGTCGGCGTCGGGCTCGCCTGCGGCTGCGGCGGCGGAGGACTTGGGCGTGGTGGCGCCGTCGGCCTTTTTCTCGGCAGCGGCAGCGCCGTCGCCCACGGCCTCGGCCAGCTTGTCGAACGCCGGCGGCTTGGAGTCGCGGCGGCCGGTCTTCTCGTCCCTGTGGCGCTCGGCTTGGCCGCGCTTGAGGGTACCGTCCTTGCGGTCCTTGCTTCGTGTCGACATCACGATTGTCGACATGGAAGACGACGGCGTGGAGGCGGAGCTCGATGCCGCAGACGTCGAAGTGGACGACAACGACGATAACGAAGAGGTAGATGACGACGCAGAGTAGGCGCCCTGGTTCTTCTTCTTCATCACCTCCGGGAAGTGCGAGAGCGACACCGCCTGGGTCTTTTCCACGCCATTGCGGGAGATGTAGCTGAGCAGGACCTTGGGCTCGTGCCTCTCGGCCTGGTTCTTGATCTGCAGGCTCAAGGGCCTCCTCGTCGCACCTAGTCGCGCAGCGAAAAAAAAACAAGTCAGTCATGGCCCCCGCCGCCGCCGCCCGCGAATGTACGTACCGTAGCCCACGTCGGTGAACTGGTGGCCGAGGAAGGCCTCCAACAGGGTCGACTTGCCCTGCCCTCGCAGACCCACCAGCACGATCTCCGGCATCTCCAGCTCGAGATTCAGACTGTGTGCGTGTAGCGTCGCGTGGTGTCGTGTCGTGTGTGCGTGTGCATGCGATGAGTTACGAAATGCTCCAAGGCCAAGAGCGATTGATTGGTGAGTGGGGCGTACTCCTTGGCCAGGGCGGTGATGAGGTCGAACGCCTTGTAGAGCTGGCGCGGGTAGGGCCGCTTCCAGTCGTACGACGAGACCTGCTCCTCGGTGGAGACGTCGATCTCGGTGCGCTCCACGCCCCCGTCGCCCTTCTCCCGCGCCTCCTTGATGCGGCGCACCTCCTGGGCCACATGGTTCAGGTCCTTGGTGTCGTCCTTAAGCTCGTCCTTGCGCCGCTTGAGATCGATGATCTTGCGGCGCTGCTCCGAGTTGATGAAGTCCCGCTTGCGCATGGCCTCGTCCCACATCAGCACCCGCTCGTCGAACTCGCGCTGGAGGAACTTCTCCTTCTCCTCGTTGAGCGCGCCCAGCTGCTGCCGGATGCGGTCCTTCTTCTTGAGCACGATGGCGTTGCTCTTCAGTACCGCCTCGAAGTCGGCCCGGATCTTCTTGTGCTCCTTCTCCAGCTCGCGCTCCTTTTTCTCCAGGATCAGGATCTCCGACTCCTTCCTCTGCCCAAACACCTGCGCGGCCAAGCCCTTGAGAAAAACACGACACGACACGACACGACACGACACGACACGACACGACACGACACGACACGACACGACACGACACGACACGACACGACACGACACGACACGAGACACGACACGACACGACACGACACGACCAACGACACGACACACCGCGCACGGAGGTGGGCCGCGTACCACGCTGCCGGAACCGTATCCGGCGGTCTGGGACTGAAGGTCCTGCTTGCCGCGGATGGCGGTGCCGCTGAGGCTGATGGAGTAGCCTCCGCGCTGGTCGGGCGTGGAGTCGGTCTTGGCCTTGTCCGTATACTCGTTGGTGATCTCGCTCAGCTTCTGCATGAGGCAGCGCTTGTCCTCGAGCGTGGGCATCGCGAGCGTGTAGAACTTGGTCGTCTCAAAGTTGACCAGATCGAACGCATTCGCAATGGCAGCTGAAAAACACAGAGAGAAAAATCGTTAGCTAACGACACCGCACACACGACACACGTGATACACAACACACGCAGCACGCATGTTCGCCCAAGTGGGCGGACATACACTCGTTGTCGCGGATAAAGGTCTGCTTGAGGGCGATCTCGTCCTTGAGCTTGTAGACGACGCCGGCCTGGTTCTTGCCCTTGAGCATCGGCCGCGCCAGGATGAGGATGTTGTTGAACAGGAAGTACTTCCGCTCCATTTCCTTGCCGGCGCGGAGGTCCACCAGCATGCCCTCCTGCACGAACTTGCGCCCGGGCTCCACCAGCTTCAGGGTCTGCAGCAGCGCGCATGCCACGAATTCCAAGAGTGACCCACGGATAAGTCGATGGCTCCAGACAGGTGGTGGTCATGGTGTGTGGGCGTGGGGGTGGGGAGGTAGTACGCCGACGACGCCAGTGTCCGAAACGATCGCGTTCTGGATTTCGAGGAGCTTCTGCACGTTCTCCACCTTGCGCTTGTTTTCGTTGACGTCGGTGACGACTTCGGTCATCTTGGCCACCGCGGCCAGGAGGTTCTCGTAATCGAAGTGGTCCTTCGGCGTGTGTTGCACGATCTCCTGCTCGCCACGCGGTGTGGTGAGAAGTGTGAGAGTACGAGAAGAGAAAGAGCTGTGAACGAACCCTCAAGAGCAACGGATACTTGCAGATACGTTGAATGGGCTTGATGATGAAGCTGCCGATGTCTTGTCTGTGACAGCGCTCGTTCTTTTTGCATTCCTGTTGTTGTGGTCGTTGGCGCCAACCACCGCCAAGTCAAGTGGATCGGCGATCAGCTTTGGAAACGGGGAGAGGGTGGGAGGCGAGCGGGGCGGTTGTGCCTCGAGAAAGGTGGAGAACTGGGGGTTGGTCTTCTTCAGGTTTTCTATCTCGGCAAGCGCGCGCCCCTGGTTGGAGCAGTACTGGGTGTACATCTTGAGGTAGTCCGCCTGTATGGGGGGGGAACATGAAGTCAGGTGGTGCTGTTGATGCGAAAAGGGGAAGAGGGACTGGGTCGAGGTACGCACCAATTTGAGGAAGATTTCGCCGATGTTCTGGGTCGAGGGCTTGGACTTCTTGATCTTGAGCAGATCGTTCATGAGCTCAGTGTTGATCGTGAGGATGAGCGTGATGTTGGAGAAGATGTTGGACACCTCGGCCGTGTTCAACAGCCCCTGGGCCTTGACAGGGTTGACGAACACCTACGAAAGAGAGACCATCTCAGTTGAGTGCCCCTCAAAGATGGAACGGAAAAAAGGGGATTGTGGGAGAGTGGATGGGGGGGGGTACCTGGACGATGGTCTTCAGATGTTCGACGTAGGCCACCTCGGTCTCCACGAGCTCCCTCATGACTTCATTTCGCAATCGTTCGTGCCTTTCGGCATCTTCCGCGCCCCACACGCTCATCTTCTCGCCGGCCGCTGGTCTATCACTTTCCCTTTCTCGTGTGAGCGCCGGGGCGAGACGATTCGAATGATTTGCTTCCTTTCTCGATCGAGGCTGAGTGCTCCTTTTCCTTCACCTCCTCGTCTCTCTCTCTTCTTCTTTCCCGGTGTGTGCTGTGCGCAATCCGCTCACAATCGAGTCAGTCGTCCTCCGTAAACGAAAGGAACCCCCAATATCTTTCGTCAAACGAGGCGGGGGGGACCTTGTTGTTGGTAGCGGCGTGGCCTTCCTTTTTTGGCGTGTCCGCAAAAAACGAACAATAAGAACATTAATTAGGTGAGAAAGAGAGAACGGAGAATGAGAACCGAGAAGAAGAATGTCTCGGGGGAGTGAACAGCCCGACCAAGTGGTCAAGACGACGAGGGGACGCGAATCGAACGTGCATGATTAAGTAAGTGCCGCGAGTGTACATTTTACAGGAGGGCTTTTTAGGAACGACAACGAGAGGAGAGAGGTAGGAGTACAGAGAAGGTGGGTCGCGAGGGGTAAGGCCGGAGCTGGTGAGCGCCACTCAAGCATTCGTTCGTGTTGGTTGTTGGTTGTTGGTTGTTGGACGGATGGAATGATGGATGACCACGAGACTGGGTCGTCGTCGTCGTGTGGAGTGGGTGTGGTGTAGATCTTAAGACCTCTGGCTGAGGAGGTAGGTGCCCTGGTCGCCGCCCATGTCCTCGTACTCGCCATCGCTGGCCATGTCGACCTCGCCGCGGATGTGCTGCTTGCTGCGCTTGGTGGCGGCGACGGACGCCACGGTGGTGGCCTCGGTCGAGTAGAGCGAGATCTGCTGCTCGTCACCGAACTCGTCGACGTTGGTGAGGTAGAAGAGGCCGCCGGCGCTCAGGCCGCCGAGCACGCCACCAATGAGGTAGATCCAGGTGTACTCCAGCCGAGTGATGTCGCCGTGGGCAATCGCATCGGAAAAGTTGAGGCCGAGCAAGATGGCAGGGTTCAAGGCGCCACCGGACACGTCTGGGGTGAGGCGAGCGTGAGCAAATTGAACGTAATTTGATACGAAATGGGCAGCTGAGTGAGAGGGGGGGAGACGTACAGCCAGCAGAACAGATGCCCGAAAGGACGGTGAAGCCGATAGCGATACCGAAGAAAGAGTTACCGGCCTGGGGCTTGGTGGTGGCGGTCTGGAGCACGACGAAGTCGAGCAGGAAGGTCCAGAACCACTCGACGATGACGGCGCCGATGAGGGGGATGTTGGCACCGGGGGTGATGCGGAAGGTCTCGGACAGAATCGCCCACTGGAACAGACCCGCGAGGAATGAGGCGAAGATTTGGACGACGATGTAGATGGCGGCATCGAGGGTCGAGATGGGGGGCTTCTCCTGGCCAGGGCGAGGGCGGTGGCCGAGAGACCTGACCCAAACGGCGATGGTGATGGAGGGGTTGTAGTGGGCGCCCGAGAGATGGCCACCTGCGTAGACCACCGCGACCAGACAGGTTCCGATACCGAGGGCAGCCTGCATCTCGAAAACGCTATCGCTTCGGAGGAAATTGATCAAGTTGAAGGAGATCGACGCCGTCAGGAAGAAGGTGCCGATGAATTCCATGATGAAGGGGGCCAGCAGCTTCGCCAGCCTCTTGGAGATGACCATTGTTTGTAGATTATTGGGATCTCGCCGATGGGGTTGTGATGAAGGTAACGAAGTGTAACCTCCTTAATGGCAGGCGAGCGACGAAGAAAGACGAGGAATTGCTCTGAATCGTCGATCAGATGTTGATTGAAGAAGTCAAGGACAAACGCGAAGTGGCGCCTGCCGCCGTTGCTAGGCTGACTTCTCCCCAATCCTCGATTTAACCAGGTATTTTAATTATTAGCCCGCCAATATTCCTGCCTCACCGACTTCCAGAACGGCCACGCTTCCGGCGGCACGCCGTGGTGCAGCTCAGCGTTCGTGGTGTTCATCGGCACCGGCAGAATAGAGCTGCTCGAGTTGCTCGAGCGACACCTGGCCATCGTTGTTGGTGTCGAGCTTCCGCCACATCGTCGTGATGTCCTCGGGACTGTACTTGGCCTTCAGGTGCGACACAGCTTCTTGGAACTCTTCGAACGATATTTGACCTGGCCAACGTTTTTACGTGGTTTACATAGACCACATGGCACGAGTCAGCACGACCAGCAGGCAGAGCGAGGAAGCGGGCAGAGCTAACGGTACCGTCTTGGTTGGTGTCGATGATGGACATGAGAGTGTGGGCGCGCTGGTCGATCTTGTCCATCTCCTTGTCCAGCTTGGCAATCATCTTCTCCAGCTTGGTCTCGAGGGTGTGGACCACCTTGTCCTGCGGCGGGGGCTGCGGCTGGTGCTGCGGCTGATCGGTCGACGCCGATGCGGCGCTCAGCTCCTCTTCGCGTTCCTCCTTGCGCTCCTCCTTGCGCTCCTTGAGCTGCTCCAGCGCCTCCCGCTCCCTCTTGATCTTCGATGGCGCCGAGGCGAACAGCAGCGACACGGCTTCGCTGACCACCTTCATCTGCTCGGCCGAGTACGCGCCCGCGGCGTCCTTCTTCGTCGCCTGCTTCGCCTCCGCCTCCGTCGCCGGGGCCTTGGCCTTCTCCTCTCTTTCCTTCTCCTTCTTCTCTTTCTCCTCGGTCTTGATGGCCTGGATCTGCTCCTGGAGGACCTCGAGCTTGGACACCATGTCCTGCGTGGTCTTGGTGGCCGAGGTGAGCTTCGTGTCGGCCACGAGCTGGTCGGGCAGCGCCGAGATGGTCTTGTGCAGCGCCTCCTCCATGGCCTTGGGCAGAGCGATCTCGCCTGTCTCCGCCTTCTTCGTCACCACTTGCTGGCCCTCGAGCGCTGCCAATCGAGACCACCGACGCGATGTCAGCATTGTGTGTGTGTGTGTGTGTGGTGTGTGTGTTGCGTGCGACGCTCGAAGGAAAAGCAGGTGGGCGCGCGTACGCTTAAGTGACGAGTAGGCAGACGTAAGTGCAAAGGCCCGAGACAAAATGAGCAGTGACGGCGGGACATGCTGCGCTGACAGCAGCAGCCACTGTTCCATCTGTGCCTTGGCTAGGAAACACAAACGCATGAGCTCCCTCCCAATGTGGCGAATGGAGCGTGCTGTGCGCCGTACCCGTGTTGAAGTCTTTGTAGTCCATGCCGCGCACCTGCGTTGCCTGCTTCATTTCGGCCTCGGTGAACTTGTCCAGAGCCGCTTCTTGCGCGATCAGCTGGACGCACACATAAGCGAATGTGTGGGCCAAGGTACGCGCGCCGCACACGCGTACATAAACACAACACACACCACCGCACGCGCACGCGCACGCACACTCCTGTATCAGCGATGGTGGGCAAAGACGTACGTCGTCATCCTCGCGAATATCGTGGAGCTTGCTGCGCAGCTGATTGCGGAGGTAGTGCGTCGTGCCGAAGCGAGAGAGGCCCATGTACTTGCACATGGCGACCACCTGCTGCCTGTCGAGCATCTCCAGAGTGAACTTGTCCTCGAACAGCTTCGACAGCCCCAGGATCTCCTTCGTCTCGAGGCTCTGGCCCTCCTTGACCTGGAGGAGGGCGAACGCCCACAACAGCAGCGTCAACGCCAGAGAGCTGCGGTGCGAGCGGAGTGGTCGTGAGGGGGAGGAGGAGGAGGCGCACCTTCTTCATGGCCTCCGCAAAGGTGGCTGCCGACGGCGTGTCGTGCGAGATCTGGAGCGAGCGCAGGTAGAGGGCGTCCTCCAGGAACTTGGCCATCTCCAGCTTCAGCTGCACCGCCTTGCGCCTTGCTTCCTCCTGGCGTTGGGTGTAGCGGGTGAGCGTCAAGTTCAACTGTTATTGTCCGGCACCACCGCCACGGCCGTCACAAGCGCTACAGCAAGCGGCGGCGGTCGCACCTTCTTGATCTTGTCCTCGAAGGTGGAGGGGAGCATGTTGGGGAAGACGGCCAGGAGGACCGGAAGCAGGAGCTCGGCGAACGGGATGACGACGATGGCCAGGAACGGGACCAGACGGAACAAGTCCACTGCGAACGGCCAATGAAGATGAGTCAGCAATACGACGCGAACATCAGGGTGTGTGTGCTGTGTGCTGTGTGCTTGATTGTGTGTAGAGTTCTGGGCACGTACCGGTGGTCTGGGTGAGAAGGCGTCGCTCTCTTCGCGTGAGGTTCTGGCCTGCTATCTTCTTCCTCAGCAGCATCGACGCCGCTTTCACGTTCTGGTGGTGCACGGAGCCCAACCAACCCCTCCAGTCAGCACCCGCACCGTAACGTGTGGTGTTGTGCGGTTGTGCGGCTCAAGGAGGAGGGTACCGCTGCGAGCAGCCGCGAGCCGGCCCAGAAGTGGCGAAGCGTGTCCATCACCTTCTGCCCGAGCCCCACCTTCTGCGGGGTCGCCGTGGTGGCGGTTGGCGTCGATGGTGGTGCGGTGTCCGCCGCCGCCACCGCGGGCGACGAGGACCCGATGGTAGGGGTTGTTGTTGTTGTGGGGGTCGTGTAAGATCTGACGTTGCCAGGTGGCTGCAACTCGCCACAACGCAGGCGGGAGAGGGATGACGGGGAGGACACGAGGGAGTAGTTGCAGGGGCCGCCATGGCGAAGATGAACCAGAGGCGGTGAAGGAAGGGCGGTAGGGAGGATGGGGCTGTGGAGTCGCCGCAACCGGAGAGAAGATGAAGATGAAGCCGTGCACCCGGTCGTTGATCGACGAACCACGAGGGCTGTGGAGAAAGAGCCAAAGGCTCCCGGAGCACCCAGGAGGGAGCCGGAAGGGCCAGCGAACGCCCGCCCCACTACCGGACCTTTCGTGGCTGCCCGAATCCGTTGCATTAGGGGAATAAAGATTAAAATACAATTATTAATTAAATTGGAAATAAATAATAGCACAATTATTAATATACAATTATAAAATTGCCCAAGCCAAAAGGAAGTAAAGAAAAGAGTTCACCACTGTGGGCTGCATGAGGGTGGCTGTGCTGGGTTGGCTGGTGGCTGAGTTTGGGCCATGTTGAAAAAAGTTGTTACAGCATCTGTTTTGTGCAATGCAACAGACCAGTAAGTTACTGGGGCCAGTGGGCTGTTGGCCAACAGCCATAGGAACCAGTGCCTGCCATCAATCATGTACTTGTAGCAATCACCACTCCACAACTTTGCAGCAGTGGCCAAGTTGCACAATGTCCTGCATGTAGGCCAGCTGGCCCAAGAGCCACACAGATCTGCAGGAACATTGTGCCTTTGCCATCATGTGTGCATACATGGTGGAAAAGTTGTGGCATAGACTAGTGAAATTGACCTCTCATTGCATGGTAGTCCACCACACAGCAGGAGGCTTCAGCAGCCATGCTCACCATCATCAAACCACTCCCTTGTCTTCATGAGCTGATCAATGAGGACGAGGTTGCCACATGGTGCAGCTGCCAAAGCGCTCCTCAGTCATGCCAACGACCACCTTCTTTTGGTCCACAGCTTCCATTTTCTTACCTCAAAAAAAATTATGATAACAATTTCACGCATTTCCGAGATTTTTCTTCTTTTCTTTTTAGTTTCGTTTTGTTCTGTCCGTTGGTGGATTTGATTGTTGGCCGATCGAGATCGAGATCGCGGAAGCAAACAGGACAATGGGAAAGGGCCGGCACACGATCAAGGTCAACAAGAGGGGCAGGAAGGGGCAGGGCGGCCGCCACAACAAGAAGCGAAAGACGGATGAAGCCGGCTGGGATATCGAAGAGGGCAAAGGCAAGAGAGGAAATTGGGCGCCCTCGGAACGCAAGAACGATTTGTTCGTGGAGTACTACAGGAACACCTTTGGCTTCTCCGATGCTGAATGGACTGAGTTCAGCGAGTCCCTTACGCGCGATCTGCCCACCACGTTCCGCATCACGGCCCATTCCTACTTCGCGGCAGCGCTACGTGAGAAATTGACCACCTACTTCCAACCAAAGCTGCACAACGTCGATGTGGGTTCCGAACTCCTGCCCAACATCATGCAATTCGAGCCTCTCTCCTGGTACCATCCTCACATCGAAACCAATTTTCCATTCAGGCGTTTAAATTTTGAATTACTCGAATATCATCTAAAGTGATTTGTTACCTGCCAGGTACCCCAACGGCAACGGTTGGTATGTGCGCACTCCTCGTCGTGCACTCAAGAAGGTCGACGCCCTGACCCAGTTCAACCAGTTCCTGGTGAATGAAACTGAAGTGGTACGCAACGGCTCCACTTCCCGTCGTCGCGCCAAGCCACTAACAACATCACCGCCATCACCGGTTGCTATCGCTATCAGGGTCACACGTCGCGTCAAGAGGCCGTGAGCATGATCCCGCCTATCTTCCTCAAGGTCGAGAACCATCACAAGGTTCTCGACATGTGTGCCGCGCCCGGTTCCAAGACGACGCAGCTCATCGAGTACCTTCACCAAGGACTCGAGCACGGCCAGATCCCCTGTACCATACCATACCGCCTTTATCGCTTTGAATGCTACTCGGAGCTCCGGCGTTGGTTGCTGACCTGACCTGGTTCGGTGTGCTGTGTGCTGTGTGTGTGTGTGTAGCTGGCATGGTGGTGGCGAACGACGTGGACGAGCAGCGATGCTACATGCTGGTGCACCAGGTGAAGCGCATCGGCAGCCCGTGCGTGATGATGGCCAACTACGCCGCGCAGCTGTTCCCCGCGATCCGCCCCAAGCTGGACGACGGCAGCCGTAGCGAGGTGACCTTCTTCGATCGCATCCTGGCCGACGTTCCGTGCAGCGGCGATGGCACCCTGCGCAAGAACTTTGATCTCTGGGGCAAGTGGCACCCCGGTCTGGGCACGGCCCTGCACATGCTCCAGCTCAGGATCGCCACCCGCGCCGCTCGCCTTCTCAAGATCGGTGGTCGCATGGTGTACTCGACGTGCTCCTTCAACCCGGTCGAAGACGAGGCGGTGGTGGCCGAGCTCATCAGGCGCGGCCAGGGCGCGCTCGAGGTGGTCGACATGTCAGACGAGCTGCCCGGCCTCAAGCGCAGCCCCGGCATCACCAGCTGGAAGGTCTACGACCTGGTGCACAAGGACCGGGACACCAAGGAGAAGGAGTACAAGTGGTACACGGCCCACTCGGAGCTGCCCGAGAGGCGCCAGGGCTCCATCCCGGCCACGTGCTTCCCTCCGACCGCCGACGAGGTCGAGGCCCTTCACCTGGAACGATGGTACGTCGCAGCACCGACTCTCCACACAACACACACACCACACCACACAGCGTACTGACATCATCGCAATCGTCGTTTTGTTTGGCAACCAATCGATCAGCGTGCGCGTGTTCCCGCACCAGCAGGACACTGGCGGTTTCTTCATCACGGTCATCCAGAAGGTGGGCGAGATGCCCCCCGTCCCCGACGAAGAGGAGGTTTTTAAGAAGAAGCACAAGAGGAAGGCCGCCAACGCCACCGGCGCAGCTGCCGCCACCACCACCACCGAGGAGGCTGCCAACGCCGAAGAAAAGGGCAAGGAGAAGGAGGCGGAGACCAAGGCCGACGACGCTGCCGGCATGGAGCTCGAGAAGCAGGAGAAGCGAGGAAGAAGAGGAGGAAGAAGACGACGATGAGGAGGAGGAGGCCGATGACGGTGATCTCGCGGAGCAGGCCGAAGAGGAGGGCAAGGACACGGCGGCGTCGGCGGCGAAGGGCAAGGACACCAGGCGGAGGAGGCACAACCAGGGCAACAGGGAGGAGCCCTACCTGCCTCTCTCCGCGGGTCTCACCGCCGAGTGGGAGCTCGTCAAGTATGTCCTCCTTCCTCTTCGTGCGGTGTGTGTGTGTGTGTGTGAGCGTGTGCGTGCGGTGTGTGCGCGTGTCCTGAGGTACTCACATTGACTTGGACAGGGAGTACTTTGGGATCAAGGAGTCCTTCCCGGAACAGCAGCTGATGGCCAGGGGCGAGGGCTCTCCGCGGATCTACTTCCTTTCGTCCGCCGTGAGCAACGTTCTCTGGAGGAACACGAGCCGCTTCAGCAAGGTCCGTGTCTTGCGCATGCATCGACACACACACACTCACACTTGGGCACAATCACTGATGCAGTGTCGCTTGCTTGCCCACACAGGTGGTGAACACGGGCATTCGCATGCTGGTGAAGCACGCGCCTCCGGACGCCAAGTGCCACTATCGCCCGTGCCAGGAGGTACCCGCGCGGCGCACACCGCAAGGCCACCTCCGGGGCCGGTCTGACCGCCATTGCCGCGTGTGTCGTGTGTGTGTGAGAAACAGGGTCTCGAATGGCTGTACCCGTACATGACCAAGCGGCTGGTCACGGTCAGCTTCGACGACATGGCGAAGCTGATTCTCGAGGACACGCCCTTCATGACCAGCTTCACCCCTGAGACCCAGGCCCAGCTCGAGCCCCTCGGTTCGTGGCTCCTCGCTTGCTTGCCCCACGCCACCCGTGCTGGACTAACCCCCATCTTCACACTTACTGGTAGCCCCCGGCTGCTGTGTGTTCGTGTGCCACGTCGCCGGTCACGCAACGTACGTGTTCTCTTCGGCCCAACCTTCATCTGCCAATACTCATCATCGTCGTCTTGTCTTCGTTGTGTGTAGGCCCATGTTGGCGTGTGGATGGAAGGCGCGCACGTCGGCCCACCTGCTGGTGGACAAGCACGCGAGGAAGTCCTGGTCCTTCCTCTTCTCGCTCAAGCCGGCTGAGACCACGGCCACCACGAGCACCGCCGTTGCTGGCGAGGCAACCACCACCGCCGAGAGCAGCAGCGTGGCGACGACATCCTCTTCGGAGGCTGGGTCCACCGACCAGTAAACATAACTGGTGGCGTGGAACAAGCCTGAGGGACCCACACGAGCCGAATAAATGGTGAGGGCTCTCTCTCCACAGCAGTGTGCGGTTGATGGGGGGTAGAATGAAACATTGTGTTGTGACCGACGCGAGGAGAAGGCACAAGGAGGGGGGGAAGGATGAAGGAAAATAAATAGGGGGGGTAGTGGTGCATGAGGCTGGACATGCCATGGATGGAGCGTGCACTTCCGAACAAGAGCTTACTCGTCGATGGGGAGGACCTGGCCCTGCGCGATCCGGTCATGCAGGTTGGAGCTGAAGCCGAGCAGCGACGGGTCGAGCTTCTGCATCTTCTTCTTCCCGGCCGCGGCGGGGTTGGGCGCGGCCGCCGCGCTCGCCTTGGCCTGCTGCTGCTGGGTCTTGGGCGTGATGGGCTTCGGGGCCTGGGCCTTGGGCGCCGCCTGCTGGGGCAGGCTCGAGCCCGACGAAGCCAGCCGACGTCCGCCGCTCGCAGCCGGTGAGGCGGTGGCCGCAGTGGCGCCGGTCGTCTTCATGGCCCAGTTGGCGGACTTCTTGGCCGCCTGCTGCTGGCCGGCCTTCTTGGTGGCGTTGTTGGCGCCGCTGGACTTGCCACCGCCGAGCGCGGGGAAGTGCGAGTCGTCGATGATGGCCGGGGCGGAGCCGTTGTCGCCCTTGCCGCCGGACTTGGGCGCGGGGGTCTCGGGCGCGCCCCAGAAATCGTCCTCCACGACCGGCGCGGGGGCGGACTTGGGCGCGGGAGCGGGTGCGGTGGACACGGCCGGCCCCGACGCGGCAGGCGGGGGCGACACCGCGCGCTGCTGGTTCACCTGAATGTCGAGCAGCGACGTCTTAGGCGCTGAGGGCACTGCGCCCCACACTCCCTTGAATTGCTGCTGCTGTTGCTGCTGCTGCTGCTGCTGTTACCCCGAGTACCCAACGCATGTCAGCAAAACGGAGCCGATACGGAAGGGACAGGGCTGCGAACGTACCTTCTTATGGTTGCCCTTCTGAGGCGACTGGCTTTGCTGCTGCTGCTGCTTCTTGGAAGACTTCTGCTGCGTGAAGGCCCGGGTGGGAGGGAAGGGTTAGCCGGAAGGCGGTGCGTGCAACACGAGGTGGAGGGAGACGCACCTCCTGCTGCCCGGAGGCGGAGGCCTGTTGTCCCTTGCCGCCCTTCTTCTGCTGCTGTTGGGGCTGCTGCTGCTGCTTGCTGGACTTCTGCTCCTCCTGCTGGATGTCGCGCAGGCTGGCCTTGGACTGCGAGGCGCTCACGGTGTGCTGGCCCGAGCCCGACGACCAAACGTCATCCGACTGCGCGGCCTGCGGCTGAGCCACCTCCTTCTTCGGCTTGGGTTCATCCGACTGCGTCGCCGCCTCCTCTTGGGCCATGATCTCCGACAGAGGGACGGGCTCGTTGCCGCCAACGCGGGTCTCCCACAGCAGCTTGGTGATGGGCTCGGCGCCGCCGGCCGGCGCGTTCTTCTTCCTCTTGTTGGCCTCCTCCTGCGCCCGCCTCTGCTCGAGCTCCTGAATCTCCCTCAGCGAGAGAGGGCTGCTCTCGGTGGGCTGTCGTTTTGTTGCCGACACACATAGATTGAGAGGCGGGTGGTGAGTCACTCTCCATCATGGTCCTTGCGTGAAGGAATGTTAGGAATGGGGATGCGTACGACCTGCGCCGCTCCGGCCCAGGGCGAGCTGAAACGGGCGAGCTGCTCACGCTGCGCCTTGAGCTGCTGCTTGTGCTGGTGCTGCATCTCCTTCTGGCGCTTCTGCTGCTGCTTGAGCTCCTCGGCCTGGATCTCGGCGAGGGTGGGCTTCTTGGTGCCCCGGCCGCCGGTCCACGCCACTTCGTTCGCCTTCTGGGCCTGCTGCTGTTGCTGCTGGCGCTTCCGCTGCTGGTCCTCCATCTGCGCCATCTCGCGCTGGGCGGCCTCCTGCTCCTGGATTTCCCTGAGCGACGGGGTCTCGTCCATGCTGGCCCACGAGGGCTGCTGGGCGTTGTTGTTGTCGATGTCGCTCTCGCCCGACGAGAAGCCCCAGGCGGACAGGAGGTTCTGCAGGTTCTTGCCGTCACCGCTCTGCTGGGCCGGTGCCGCGGCCTTGGCCTGCTTCTGCTGCTTCCGCCTCTCCAGCATCTCCCTCTGCTCCTGCTCCTGAATCTCCTTCAGCGAGGGGGGCTTAGCTCCGCCGCTCGTCCATCCGGTGGTCTGCTGCTGCTGCTGGGCCTTGGCTCCGCCCTGGGTGGCAATCGCAACAGCCACAGTCAGCCACATTTGCAGGAGGGAGTGAAGAAACGTTGAGCTTTGGCGAGATTACCTTCTGCTTGGGTGATTGCTGCTGCTGCTGGGCTTGGTTGCCCTTCTTCTTTTGCTGCTGCTTGGCCTGCTTCTTGCTCGGTTGCTGTTGATCGGCCTTGGCGGTGGCCTGCTGCTGCTGCTGCTGCTGCTGCTGCTGCTGCTGCTTGGCCTGCTCCGTGGCCGGCACGTCCCAGATGTCCTCCTCGTCGTTGGCCTGCCTGGTCGGCTCTGATGACGCCGAGCCGCTGTCGGTTTCGGACTCGCCGCCGCCCTGGCGCTCTTCGTGATGCTGACTGCGGTGTTGTTGCTCATCGTCGTGCAGCTCTTGCTCGACCGAGTCGTTGACGCCAGCTCCCCCGTTCCTCCGCTCCTCTTCGTTCTCGTTCTGCATGCGCGCCTGGATCTCCTGCAGCGACAGCGGCGTGCCGTCGGGCGAAATGCCCCAGACCGACTGGAACACGGGATCCACCTGCGGGCGCATGCCCATCGCAAGCTGCTGGCGCATGATCTGCTGCTTGTGCTGCTCGCTCATCATGTGGTGGTGGAGCATCTGCTCCGGCGTGAATGGGTGAGGGAAGGCCTGGCAGATGAAGCATGGTGGAGATATAGGTATGTATAAGCAGCGAGTCAGGTGGGTTGCACGAGAGTATATATATACACATAAAGCAAGTTAGATAGACGAGAAGGGGTACCTGCGGAGGCATGGGGTGCTGCCGCTGCTGTCGCTCGCGCATCTCCTGCTCTTGGATCTCCCTCAGGGTGGGCGCATGGCCGGGCTTGCCGTGCATCGGTGCCATGAGCCAGGGCGCCGCATGGGGCGGTACGTGAGGAGCATGGGGCGGTGCGTGAGGAGCATGGGGCGGTGCGTGAGGAGCATGGGGCGGCACATGCGGTTGCTGCATATGCATGCGCATCTCGGGCGGCTGGAAGCACCACCGCCAGTAAGTTACAATTAACACTCACAGATTGTGAGACAACAGGCAAAGACTGTACCATGTGGCTTTGCTTCATCAGCTGCTCTTCGATCGCGGCCATGTCGAAGACGCCCTGCCTCCTCTCCAAGCTCGGGATGTGGTGCGGCCCGGGAGGACCCGCAGGCACGCCCGGACGCATGCCGGGAAGAGCCCCAAGGGGAGGGAAACCGGGCTGCAGGCCGGGGAAGAACTGCTGAGGCGGCTGGCCGGGACCCATGAGCGGGTGCATGAACGGCCCCTTGCCTTCGGGCGCGCCGGGGAACTGAGGGTGAGGGTGCATGTGGTGAGCCGGTGGCTTTCCGTGCATCGGCGCCCTGTCGCCCGCGGGCATGGGTCCACCGGGGCCACCGAATTGCTGGAACTGCCTCATCTCCAGCTCCTGCGCGCTCCACGGCGCCTGAATGGGGAGAGAGCCATTTCAGCAAAAAAGAAGACGCGAGACTCGATTGAACTCAACAACGGAAGAGGGAGAGCGCACCTTGGCTGTTGCGGGCCAGCCGCCATGAGGCACGGGCCGAGCGCCAGCGGGATACGGGGAGGGCCGCTCGTCGCCCTCGTCATCGGAGGAGGCGATCAGCTCGGAGGCGAGTCGCGGGAAGTGGTCGAGAATGTCGTCCAGCGACTCCGGGTCGGACATGTCGGCTGAGTCCCTCTTGACCGTCGCGCCCTGCTGCTTGGGCTTGTGGGCAGCGGCAGCGGCGGCGGCGGCGGCCTGAGGTTGCTTGGCGGCGGCAGCCTCCTTCTTCTTGCTCTCCTGCCTTTCCTTCTCCTCCTTCTCCTTCTTGGCTCGCTCGGCTTCCTTAGCGGCCTTGATGATCTCTTCGGCCTTCTTGGTCACGGCAGTCTTCTCCTCGGGCTTCTTGGCGGCAGCTTCCTTCGGGGCGGCAGCGGCGGGCTTCTTATCAGCCACCTTGACGTCCTTGGTGTTGTCCGTCCTCCAATTGCCCTCATCCTTGGGCTTCTCCTCGGTCCTCTTCGAGGGCGTTTCCCTAGGGGCCTTCTCGGCAGCAGCACCAGCCTTCTGGTCGCTTCGCTTCCTCCAGTCACCGCGGTCACCACCGTGTTCGGCGCGATCACCCCAGTCACCCCGGGCTCCGCGCTCGCCTCGGCCCTCCAAGTCAGCGGCGTGCATCTCTCGAAGCTTCTCGCGACGGACGGCCTTCTCCTTCTTCTTGCGCTGGCGCGCGAAAGGATTGCCCTCGTAGGTGGAGAGAGCCTTGAAGTCTTCGTCGCCTTCCTTCTTCACCGGCAGGCTCGGCGGGAAGAAGCCGCCCAGATACCACTCATGCATCTCCTTGTTGGAGAAGGGACCTGGGGAGATGCACAACAATACCGGCGTTCGTTAACACGCGTCATCATAGGCAAGAAGCGGCCGGCGGCAGGTCAACGCTGAGCTAGCTAGACGTACCACGGACGATGTTTTGAGGGTCCCTGTACAGCCAACCGACACCAGGGGCCTCGTCCTCGCTCGCGGCCTCGTCAGAGTCGGAATAGGCCTTCTCGTCCTCGAGCTCCTCGAGCTCCGAGCCCTCGGAGTCAGAGTCGCCCCTGAAGCGGCCTCCGCTGAAGCGACCCTTGGGCGCGTCCTTGTCGACGGGCGTGTCGGCCCATGCCGGCCGCCTCTCGCTCCTCTCGCTTCTCTCGCCCTCGCCTTCCCACGAATAGCCCAGCCTGCCCCTGCCCCTCGGCGGGCGGTAAACTCCAGAGCCGCTGCTGCTTCCGCTGAGTGATCCTGAATCGATTGAATGAGTCGATGCGCGGACAGGAATCGGCGCCAAAGACAACTACAATTCTAACAGGGCTGCGGGTACCTTCTTTATCTCTGGGGCGCAACTCACGATCGCTCCCCCGGCCGCGGCCTGAGCGAAATTAAAGCGAAAAAATGTGAGACTGTTGTCACGATCGGCACTCGCTGGCGCACGTACCCCTGCCTCGGCCTCTTGTACCGCCTCGGGTGGCCGAGGAGCTCGCACGGCTTGGGCAGATGTTGTAGAGATACTTGCGCTGCAACTCCTCGAACTGCGCGAATGAGAGGTAAAATGGGATAACTTAGCACGTACGCTCGTGTCTGCCGCACCACTGCCCGAGGCATTCTCGAATTGAAGCGCGATCGGGAGTTGGAGGGGGGGTGCAAGCGCGTACATCTTTCAGCAAGTCCTGCGACAGATTGACAGGTAGGAGGGGTTCCTCAGAGAGGATGTAGGGCAGGGCAAGAAAATCGGGTGGGCATTCGTCAGCGACGGCGGAGTGGAGGGCGAGCACATCCTCCTTGGTGTAGCAGTAGGCTAGAAGCTTCGAGCCGCCAGCAATTGGCACCACACCCGAGGACGATCCCTTAGCAAAGTCTCTGGTGCCGCTCAGCGTCAGAGTCCTGCTGCCCGACCGATTCATCCAGCCCGGCCCCAGGGTGATGTCTTCCTCATCGCTCTCTGCTCGAGATTCCTTTCCGGCCGAGATAGCGGCCACCTCCGCCTCGCCTTTCCTCTCTTCATCCACTTGGGACGAGGAGGGGGCACCAGCTCCACGCGTCACGCTCTTGCTAGACTTCGCCTCTTCCATTTCTCTCTGTTCTCCTCTTCTAAAAGATGATAGTTCTAATCTAAATAGATGTTTGTTTGGTCCCCTTCCAAGGCCGAGTAGCAGAACGATGGGATCTGATCAGTACCGATGTGGAGCACTACACTTTTACGTAAAGATGTTGGGGTAAAAAAGAAAAAAAGAAAACCTTGACCACCTCACTGCCGTTCATATTGTCGACATTTAACATTCGAAATTTGAAGGAATTCGTCCGCGTGATTGGCCAACCTTTCGAACACCAAGGGCACAACAAGACGCACAACACACGACGACACGACACGCGAGAAAGACAAGGAGACCAAAACGATGGCGGAGGGAGGGAAGGTCTCTTTATATCATTAGGCGCAGACCTTGAAGAGCTTCTCGAGGATGGCGGGAATCTTGGACTGGTTGATCAGGAGGATGGCCCTGTTGTCCTTCAGCGAGCCGTCAAAGGTCCAGCGCGAGGCCTCCTCGCCGTGCATGACCGGGAAAGTGAAGAAGAAGTTCGCCTCCTGAGCAACATTGGCACGCCACGAGCATCATGATGAGACCGGAGCGAGAACACGCATGCGTGGCGCAGTTGTGCCAACACAACGCCAAGCACACACGGTTTAGGCACCTTCTGATAGAATTCCTCCTCTGGCCGGGTGTAGAATGTCTCCTCGCCTGTTCGTCCCTTTTTGGACTTGGGCTTGTCGGTGCTCTCGCCCAGGCTGTGGCTGTACTGGTTGGAAATCAGGATGTAGTTCTCGAACTGGAAGCTCGAGTCGCCCTACATTGACGATTGGTCGCCGCAGCCAAACACAGCGTGGGTTCTAACGTTTTTCTCAACCTTTGGGAATGGGAACGAGAGACATGGGCGTACGTCTTCCACGGCAGCCTGGATCTCCGAGAAGAGGGCCTTGTGCAAGTGGGGAGCCAGCTGAGGCGGAAGGTTGATCAATCGCCTGTGGTGAAGATGGTGCGTGAGCGAACGTTTCAGAGTACTTTTCACACACCACCGACATTCGCCCAAGCCACTCCTGTGGGGGAGGGAGGGAGACGCTGTACTCATTGAAGAGAAGGCCCAGCGGCTGCGACTCGTCGTTAAAGAGGGACTCGAGTCGCTCTTTCTGCCAAAGCAAACATCACCCATCGTCGGTGAGACTGTGAGCAAGCACAGGCAAAGGCCAACGTGGGTGGCGACCGTTATACCTCACTCTGGTTGGGTGCCTTGGACAAGAGGTACTCCTTGATCTGTCGCACGGCGGTCAAGTCCTGCGTTGATGACAACCGCGGGTGAGTGATAGGACTCTTCGGCAGGTCCAGACACGGATGGGAGTGGTGATGGCGATGGCCGTGGTGAAGGTGGTGGAGGCCGGGGCATGTTCTCTCACCTTGTGCTTGTGGAGGTTGACGACTGAAACGAAGCCGTAGGTCTCGTCTTCACCCTCAACCTTGACGACAGTGCCGACGTACTCGTTCTGTTTGATGATCAGGTCCGCCAAATCGCCCGCACTGAACGCCTGGCCCTCGAGGAAGGGCAGCAAGAAGTTCTTTATGGCGTGATAGTCGATCTCCTCGGGATCAAAGAACGCGAAGTCTACCTGCACCTCCATCTTCTACACTCCGCCCACCATTATGGTATTTAATCGCGATTTTCTCCGATCAGCGGAAAGGCTAAAATTTTGAGGGCTTGCTTACCTTTTCCTCCTCGTCCAAATCGCTCAGCTCGGGATCGTCATCTTCCTCGTCATCGTCGTCATCGTCGTCCTCGTAATCCTCTCCATCATCACTGCCCTCGCCATCCTCTTCATCAAACTCCTGCTCTCCGTCCATTTCCTCCTCTTCCTCAAGCTCCTCCTCGAGTTGTCTCTTCTTGCTGGCCTTGCCCTCTGACGCGTCCATTTCTCTGTTTCGGCTCAATCAAGACGTGCGAGCGATCACTCTTTTCGATGTTTTTCTCTTTGTACCTTCACACCCATGTTTTCTCTCCCATTTCTCATCATTCCTGCCATACCGAGTAAGCCACGGAGAGACCACTTCTTGGGATAGAGCTGTGTAAGCTGAAGCCCACTTCACATTGATCCTCCTCGGTATTTGTGCTGTCAGCTATCTACTCAGCACCAAGAACCTCCAACATGAAGAAGTGGTGGTAAAGAAAGCCAAGTCTCACCAAGGAGCAAGATATGGAAAGCACAATGCCCAACAGGATGGTGAAGTATTGGGGTTGTTGTTTGGGATCAGCATCCTTCTCTTCCACCTGTTGTGCAGGGTTCATTTGTCACACGTGGGCTGTGTGTCCAGCAACTGGCGGGAAAGAAACCAAACAAACAGAATTGGCGGGAAAAAACACAAAAGAAATCAAAACGATTGCCCGATTGCACAAGATTAATGGATTCGCCAAAGGTGACTGGCCTTACACCGGCGCAGGTTGAGTTCTTCTCCTCGGAGCAGCTCGTGGAATTCGTTCCCCTTGTAGATGCTCCCGCGATTCCTACTCTTTCCGTACGATTTTTCACATCTTCCCCATCCCGCGTGCACATGTTGAACGAGCGCTGCTTTCTGGCCATAGGGGTACCTAGGGCCTTTCATTGGAGGCAAAGCACTGCAGGTGCCCGTGTGGCTTGCCCTTCAGATGGAGGAGAAGGGCTGGGGCCGCACAGTCACCCCCAACTGGCTGAGAAATCCGCGTACGCAGAAGCAGCTCCACGTCTTCCGACATGCTTGTGCTGACCTCCGCGCACAGAGCTCTTGCAAGCCCTGCTGGACGCAGAGAAGAACAACCCCGACGAGTTCTGCCCAGTGCCGCAACACTACATGGAGCTCACGCAACTGTTCCTCCGAAGCTGCCAGAAGTAAGCACCTCGATGCGCCGCTGGTGTGGTGTTAGTGATGTTCTCAAGTGCTGAACGTGTCTGCTGGTCGTACGTTTTGCAGTACGGACCGACCCATATCGCAGCAGGTGCTCAGCCTGGTGGACTTGTTGTGGAGCGTCCGCGCTGAGAAGAGGAGGGCGGGTGTCGAGGGTGCTGATCTCGTCAACACCCTCGCGTTCAGAGTAGGTTCCCCTCGCCTCTCTCGCACGCTTCCTCAAAATACTTGCGCTGACGCTCGACACCTTCCCACCCAGCTGGACAACCTTACCATGTTGGAGGCCAACCACTTTCGACGAATTGCCCAGCTCGCGTTGGACTTCAACCTCGATGCGAAGATGGCCTTCGAAGGGGAGGTGTCACCTCCCGAGCTCGAATCGCTCAACCGACGGGTACGTGTCGCTATACGCAGGTTCGCCTCACATACGCTTGTGCTGATTGTCTTCCCGTCGCAGCGAGGAAACCTGGCCGAGCTGCTTGGTTTGGGCAACATCCCCCGGCTGTCCCAATCTGATCTCTACTCAGGTGAGGGCGTCGCCTCCTCACACAACGCTGAAGCTTCGCTCACGCGCTGCTCTCTGTTCACCAGGTCAACGCTTCTCCCGATCCACCTTCGAAGGCAGCGACCAGAGCGGGACGTCGGGCGCCACGAGCCAGCAGAGCGGCGGCACAGGTGAAGAAGACGAAGACGAAGACGACCTTTCGCGCAGGCCATGGATGGGAGGTAGCGCTGGCGCACCGCCCTCGAACAAGCTACGAAGACTTTAGGTACACCTTCTTGCCTACCCATCTTGTTCTGCTTCTTGACCCTCTCGCCTCACCAAGTGTAAACGTCAGTGTGTTCGTTGACATGAGACGAGGGGAAGATATTGCAACCGTGCTTCCTATTCTGTTTCTTCATTCGCTACTCGTTGGCTGCTGCCTGCTCCTGCCTTATCTCCTCCTCGGGTGCCTGCGCGGCCTTGTTCGGTTCCTCTTTGTCGTCGAGCTTGGCCTTTTTGTTCTTTGGAGACGCGTCCTCCTTGGCCTCCGCTTCGTCGGCCAGTTCCGCAGATGCAACCTTCTCTTCCTTTTCCTTCCTCTTCTCCTCTTCCTTCTCTTCGTCTCCTTGGTCGCGCTCTCTCTTCTTGCTCGGCTCCACTTCGTCGGGCCGGTCGAGGCTGGTGAGGGCCTCGGGCTTGTGGGCGGCGCGGGCACCGGTCTTGTCGCTGTGCACCAGGTACTCAGGGTTCTCCTCCGACGCGGCCACCTTGTGGCTCTTGATGGTGGTCGGCTTCGTCAGCTTCTTCTCCACCGTGCCCACAACAGGCCCCGACGCGCTGTTCCACTCTACCTTCTCGCCTGGCTGGAGCTCCTTGTCTGCCATCGTTTGTACGTTCCCTGTGCGCTCTACGTGTGTTTTGTGTCGTGTGTTGCGTTGTGCGAGTTTTGTGGGCTGTGGCAGCTTCTTCTTGTGTTGGGCGCTCACGTCACGATGTGGGGCGATCAGCAGTTCTGAAGGTATCTCGCTTCCATTCCGTGTTCACTGTCTACCAGCGACACCCGGGCCCGGGTGCCAATGTGGTTCTCGAAATCTCTTCAGTTCGTCCACGTGCTACACTCGGCCTTCGGTGCGTCCTTCTCACACGATCCTTGCATTGAATGAACAATCAATTTAGGATGATGAAGTGGGCTCACGTTCTTTTGTTGTGGTTACAGACGTGAACTCAAAAAACAAACAACGTGATGTCATGAAATATCCAATCATCCAATTATCGTTGGCCATCCTCGCTCATCATCACCCTCTTCTCTCCCTTCCTGTACAGGCCAATAGTGGACTTCACTCGTTGGAGGCGACCTGCTCCTGCCTGACCTCCTCCACGGGGGCCTCGAGCGCCTTGTTGGCCGCAGCGTCGGCGGCCTCGGGCGTGGCCTCCTCGTCCAGCTTGGGCTTCTTGGAGACGGGCTGCTCGAGCTTGTCCTGGCCGATCAGCTCGTCCTTCTTCTCGAGGTCCACCTTCTTGTCGCTGTCGCTGTCCTTCTTCTCCTCCTCCTTGTTGCCCTCGCCCTGCTCGCCCAGCTGCTTCTGGAGGTCGAGGCCGGTGCCCTTCTCCTCGCCATCGCGATCTCGCTTCTTGCCGGCCGCGGCCGACTCGGCGTCGGCCATCTCGATGGGCTTGTCGATGACCCGCGCCTCGAGCTTCTCGTCCTGCTTGCTGGGCATGGGGTTGGCCACGTCGGTGGGCAGCGACTCCTGGGGGATGGCGGAGGCGGCGTTCTGTTCGGCAGTCGACATGATGATGATAGTAGTGGGGGGGGGTAGTCGAGGTAGTGGTCTTGTCTTGCTGGGGTGGTGCTCGATCGTCGAAGGCGTGAAGAAGTGAAATGGAATGGCTCACCGATTCAGCCATTTATGCAGGGCGCCCGTGTGCCGGTGACGAGGCCCCTTCAAAGTGAAGGAAAACCAGAAGAAGTCGAGGCGGTGTGGCTTGCACGGGCTTGGACTTGGCGTACGCTTGGGCTGTAGTGCTTTCCACTGACACTTCATGTTCTTGTCGCGGCCGCCTTGCAGTCCTCACGCCCGAGTGGCCGAAACTCGAGCCGCCAGGCGAGATCTTAACCCGGAAATTCCCGTCGGCTGATGTGGAATTTTAAAAATGAGACATCTATCACTATGGCACATGATTAGAATTATATTGAAAGCTAGTAAACCGAAATTGCCGGGAAAGAGGGAATAGGGCTTGTGGCTGTTGGGCGACGAAGACTTTGGCGTAAGAGAAGAAAGGACAGCAGTACAACCACACTCGCACGCAACAGCCATGTACTCACCAGGTATGTGGTGGCCCCACCCAACATGGCGTCATTGTTGCACTTGTTCAAACATGCACGCAACAATTGCAGGTTGTTCGACTTGCGCGCACAAGGACCAGATGATAGGGTCGCTCCAGAAGCAGGTCTATGACCTGCAGGCCCGCCTTGCCGTCTACGAGGCACCCCACCACCAGCCGGCTGCCCCACTCCACCCTCCTCACCACCAGCACGGCGGTGTCCACCTCCCTCACGTGCCCCACCCCCTCCACCACCACCACCATCAGCACCACGGGCAGCCCGCCCCGAGTCTGCCGTCCCGCCACTCGCCCCACGGTACCTGCCTGGACTCTTCGCCATCGTGCAGTTGCTGTGCGGTTGCTCACATGGGACCGGTCGGGCGTCGGCAGGTGGCTCGGCGGCGTATCCCTTCCCCCAGCACGTGCAGTACGCCCCCGGCACCACGAAGCCCAACCACGTGTCGCAGGTGCGCCTTCTCTCTCTCCCCCCTCTGTCCTGGGCCGTTTCGAACCGAGAGCCTAACCCGCTCCCGGCCACCACCAGGATCACCTCGACCGAGACGTGCGCGCCTTTTACGATCACTGGAAGGGCAAATACCTGCAGGAAGCCGGGCACTGCAACTCCAACGGTTTGCTCCCTTTAGAGCCTGACAGAGTCCTCATACGGACTGACTCGCCATAATTGCGTGTGTGCATGTGTGCGTGTGTGCGTGTGGTGCGGAGGACAGGCAAGCCGAGGTACCGGGTGATCATGAACAACAACGGCAATGCGTCGGTGTCGGAGGGCCAGGGGTTCGGGATGATCATCGTGGCGATGATGGCGGGCCACGAGGCCAAGGCGCGCGAGATCTTCGACGGCCTGTTCCTCTACTGCAAGGACTACCCGAGCTCCATCAACGCCCGGAACATGGCGTGGAAGGTCAACGCCGACGGCTCGCGTGGAGGCGACAACTCTGCGTTCGACGGCGATGCAGACATCACCTACGGTACCCAACACTTGATGCGCTATCGCCGCATCTACGGTCAGTACTCACTCGGTCTTCTTCATGATCCCACGCCAGGTCTGATTCTTGCCGGCAAGCAGTGGGGCAGCACGGGAGCGGTAGACTACCGGGCGGAGGCTCTGGCCAAACTGGAAGGTAGCTTCTTCTTCTTCTTCTTCGTGCTTGTCCGAATGAGTTGGTTTTTATATTAAATGTTGTGGTGCGATCAGCGATGGCCTCGTCGATGATTGGACCCGACAGCAAACTGCCTCTACTGGGCGATTGGGTGCAGCCCAACTCGACAGACAAGTTCAGCCAGTGGAGCACCCGTGCGTCTTGGCTTCCCCCTCCGGATAGCCGCTTTGCCCGCGCTCACTCTCTCCCCTACTGCGCGTGTGCATGCAGGGCCATCGGATTTCATGTACGGCCACTTCCAAGCGTTTGCGCAGTTCGACCAGCAACGGCGCCAGTTGTGGGAGTCTGTGCTCAGCGCCACCCAGGCCGTGGCCAACCAAGTTCAGAGGTAACCGGCGCTCCATCATGCCTGGTGGCAGTCGTCAGAGTGGGGCACTTTCTCACCAAACCTGGATTGTTTCGATTATCTGCGCAGAGACCATGCGAGTCGCACGGGACTGCTCCCGGACTTCGTTCAGTACGACCGAGGCTGCGGGTCGTACAAGCCCGCCCAGTCGGGCTTCCTCGAGGGCAACAACGACGGCGCCTACTTCTGCAATGCCGGCCGCATCCCGTGGCGATTTGGTACGTCACCTTCGCTCGAGGTGGTCACGAACTGCCGCCGTTGAGGGCTGACAAGGAGGTGTGACTGTGGTCACAGGCGTTCATGCACTGCTGCACGGAGACGCAGTGGCTGCTCAGCAAGCCGAGCGAATCTTGAAGTGGGTGGCTTCACAAGGGTCCATCAAGGCTGGCTATCACCTCGGTGCCACGCCTCCGCTCCGCGGTTCTCGATTTGTCGTTTGGCTCACCTGATGACGCGCAGATGGCCGGCCCATTGGGGACTACTTCTCGACGTTCTTCGCTTCACCGTTTGTGGTGGCGGCCATGGTGGCGCCCTCGGCCCAGTCCTGGCTCAACAAGATGTACGATGCGATCAAGCACAAGAAGGAGAACTACTACGAGGACTGCGTCAACATGCTGTGCCTCCTCACCCTCTCCGGCAACTTCTGGGATCCCACCACGATTGGCACCGGTACGCGCGTGTCCCACGCCACACCCGAGTAAGGTATGAAGGTCCTAGCTCACCAAGCGCGGTGACGACTGTCCAGGATCGGCGCCCAAGGCGATTGCGACCGGTCACGTGAGCGTGGCCGAGCCGATCCAGATGTCCTCCGCCCCAGCGAGCTCTTCTTCGTCTTCGTCATCGACTCACAGCGGCGGTGATGGCCCCGTCGCGGTACGCGGGAGTGCCGGCACTGAGTTCACCTTCCTCTCCGGCTCCAACAAGTGGTGGCTCGGCATCTCCATCCCAGGTACCTTTCTTTCGTCGTGTGTGCGTGTGCGTGTGCGTGTGCGTGTGCGTGTGCGTGTGCGTGTGCGTGTGCGTGTGCGTGTGCGTGTGCGTGCGGTGTCCTGACAGGAGTTGCGTTGCTCAACAGGTTCGCAGGCTGTGAAGATCGACAGCGGGAACGGGAGGGGCTGGCGGGAGATGGTGGCCGGCTGGGCGCCCGGCATCTGGACCTACCAGTGCGAGGGCGCCCCATGCGGCTCAGTCCTCCGCTTTATCATCAACAACGGCCGCCAGGAAGAGGCCGTTGCCTGTCCCTACTGAACATGCACGTACACGGTTATGCCCCGTTTGTGGTGTGGACCAATAAAAGCAGGACATGCAGCTGATCAGGCGGTTTTATGATATATTGTTCTTGTAACTTGTGGTTGGTCTTATGTCATCTTAGATGGCAACTCGCACCCGATTCGACGGATTACGAGCCACGTTCTCACAATCCAGTCTTGTTGTTTGCAGCCCAACTGATTGCGAGCTTTGGCAGCGCGCTCGGCTGGGCATCTCGCCCTGTTCCACAGCCGCGCCCTGCAGCGGGTGCAACTTCTCGGCCGGAGGCGTCTTCACCAAGAACGAGGAGGGGGGATTCAGCATCTACATAGCGCGCTCACGGCGCCCACGACAGCCGGCTTCATTCCCAATTTTGAGTACCATCGTCAACCACCATTTTGATCAAAACTTTGAACGCCACTATCTCGGCACCTAACTCGCCTCTTCGCACTGCTGACGAACTGAGTCGCCTCGAGACCTGATCACCGTGGGCATCAGCCACCACCAGTCGGTGGCTGCGATGGACTACCAGTGCCAGAGCAAATACAAGTACCTCAAGTGGCTCAGCCGCTGCCGTTCTCGGGCAACCCTGCGCTCGCTTTTCACAACTACTACTACTCGATTCACCTACTTCGCGTTCTACAAGCCGATGGCCTACTTCAACAGCACCACCGCCACGAGGCTTGCCCCAGAGCACCACGGGCATCACCCTCTACGTCACGGGCACCCCCTCAGCGCCCAAGGTGGACAATGCGGTCAATCGGTATCAGCAGTTGGGCGGCACCACGTGCGCCTCGGCCTCCAGCTCCTCCTCGAGTGCGTCGATGATAGAGAACGCCGCCGTGACTCCTTAGGTGGCTCAGACTCTCTTTTTGAATGTCGCGTCACATTGAGTACTTTTAATTGTGCCTTTTTATTTTCTGATGTTTTTCTGCATGGCTCATTTATTTTTATTGTGTGCAGAGGATGGAACAAGAAGAAGATGATTTGAAGTTGAGCGTAGAGTTGTGGCAAGGCATTGGGGAAGCGGGGGTGAAAGAGCTCACGCCCCTCCAGAGGCGCGCCATTTCCGCGCTGGTGGAGGGGAAGGACGTGGTGGTCGACGCCGGCACGGGGCGCGGCAAAACGACGGCCATGGTGATCGGGATCCTCCAGCGAATAGCGGCGCAGGGCCGCAAGGACGCGATGCAGGTCCTGGTGGTCGTACCGGTTCGCGAGCTGACGGTCGTGACCGACCACATCGTTCGGGTGCTGGGCGTCCACATGGACCTCACGACGCAGCCCGTCGTCGTGTTCCGTCAGAACCACAATCTGCTGGCCAACGCCCAAGTGGTGACCATCACGCCCGGCAGGCTGCGCGACCTCCTCGAGCGCGGCTTCTTGGACCCGGAGCAGGTGCGGATGCTGGTGTTCGACGATCCCGGCCGTATGGTGGATATGGGTTTCGCCGACGAGATCGACTTCATCATCAAGTTCCTGCCCACCGACATACAGCTAGCCATATTCACGGACAGCATGACCGACGGGTGCAAGGATCTGGCCGAGGCCTACATGTCCCACCCCGTGTACATCACATACCAATAGATCACAAAATATTTGAAATTCCTGTAATTCACCGCATCCATAACAGGAACACATAAAATATGTAAGGAATGAAGAGTAGAAATAAAATAAACATGGGACCACAGAGTGACGCCCAGGGAGTGATGGGTTGATGTATGTACAGCACCGATCTATTTGGGGACCGTACGCCACAACAAATAAATAAGGGGCGTGGGAAGAAGAGATGATGAGTGAGAGAGAGAGAGAGAGGAAGAATTCAGCAACAAAGGAAGAGGCAGCATCGATTGTGCATGGCGTCGGGTCCTCGGAGGGCTTCTTCGTGGGTGAGGACCGAGCTCATGGCGAAGCCGAAGAGGGCGCACAGCACGAGCGGGATCATGCCCAGCGCGACCTCCCAGCGCACGTAGACCGATAGCAGCACGACGATGACGACGTCGATGAGGGCCGAGATGAAGGAGAAGAACCACAGGATGCGCGGCGACGACGTGGCCACGCCGAGGCCACCGATCAGGTACGGCACGATGAACACGGCGCACAGGATGCCAAAGTAGAGGCCGAACGACATGAGCCGCTCCTGGGTGGGCGAACAGGACTCGTAGAGGATGCACGACACCATGTGCATGAGCCAGCCGCTGAGCGAGGTGATGAGCACCACCTCGAGCGAGGCCACGGCGAAGAGGGCCAGGTAGATGAACTTGATGACCCTGTACCGCTGCCGCTCGGGGTCGTCGCCGTGCGCGCCGTGTCGTCGGTGGGGAAGCAGCGCCGTGCCCTCGTGGTGGTGGTGGTGCATCGGACCCTTGAGCGGCCAGTGGTCGTCGTCGCTGCCCTTGCCCCTGCCGCCGCCGCGGCCAGCTGCTGGTTGTGTTGGTGGTGGCTGCTTGCGCGGGCGCCGTGGCCGCTCGATGAAGTCGTCTTCGATCTCCACGAACTCGGACTCGATCATCTCCTCGTCGCCGTCGGCTCCCGCCTTGGCCTTGGCCTTGTTGGGCGTCGGCTGTTGGGGTGGCGGCTGACGAAATCCGCCACCAGGCGGGCCGCCGTGAGGTGGTGCGCCGCGGCCGCCAGGACCACCCGGACCGCCAGGTGGTTGGAAGTTGGGCGGAGGCGGGCGAGGAAAGCCGTCGCCGGCACCGTGCGGTGGTCGGAAGTGAGGCGGCGTGGGGCCACCGCGAGGCGGGTGAGGAAAGGGGGGCGCGTTGCGGTGAGGAGGGGCCATGCCGCCGCCAAAGCCACGGCCCATACCAGGCCCGCCCATAGAGGGTGGAGGGCCACCGAAGCCACCACCAGGTGGCCCAGGATTGCGAAAGAGGCCGGCTGGCGGCTGATCTCGGCTGAGGCCCGAGGGATGGGGGTGGGGGGCGGCAAAGGGGATGCCGCCTCCCTTGGGTGCAGCGGCCCCACCGTCGACCTTGGCGAATGGAATACCGGTCGCCGTAGCCGACGTGTTGTAGAAATTTTTTTCCTCCTTTCTCTTCATGTGCTGACCAGGGTTGGTTTCCACCGATTGAGTGAGTGCTATTTTGAAGTTGGGATACTCGAATCTATAATGGAGCTAATCTGTTCATTAATTCGACGATTGCAGATCTCACTTCTGTCGATTCGACCGAGCGGAAAATTACGGTTGGAAAACTCGCCATAAATAAAAAGAAAAACGATTTTAACGGCCATTTATGGAATGCGTGGCATGTTCGGTATGTGCTCGCCCCTTGGTGGTGATCAAGCAGCGACGTAGACGGGGCAGGGGCAGTTCTGTAAGCAAAACTCGGAGGTGGATCCCATGACCAACCTGTCGCGCATGAGGGGATGTTGCAAGCAGGTGAGCAGGTGTGTCATCAGAAGAAACTTCAGAAAGAAAAGACGGGGCTGACGACGCACTTGGCCAACGCGCCCAGACCCCGTCGGCCCACCACGACGAGGTCGGGCGACAGGGCTTCGATCTGCCCCAGCAGTTCCTCCCTCTCGCTCACGTCCGTCACGACGATCTTCGTCTCAAACCGCACCTGTGTAGTGAATTGGTGAGTCGTGAGTCGTGAGTGGTGCGGTTTGAGACATAACACCAAACTGTGTACAACGACCACGCAGGAGGTTGGCAAGTTGGCCGCACGGCGCTCACACAACAACACAGGGTGACTGACCTTCTCTTCCTTGCACCTGAGCTCGCTCTCAGTCAGCTTCTTCTTGGCAAAGAGGCGCAGCTGTCGGTCAGGGATGTGCAGCATGTCGAAGGGGTCCACCAGCGCTTCCAGCAACGTGCTTCGAGGCTGGATCTAATGTTGCGTGGTGGTGCCAAAGGATGTCATCAAAATCAATTCTGTCAAGCCGAAATCGAGAGGGGGCTACCATAAGAAGAACGAGACGGTCGTGCCGCCCTCGCGAGCTGACAAGATTTATGCCCTTCTCCAACGCTCGAAAAGAATTCTCGCTACCATCAACAGCAACACAGATCGTGAGCCCTGCCGCTGTCCCCTCGTGCTGCGCCATCTTGGTTTGTGGAGTTGAGACAGAAACTGCGA